CTCTACCCAGGGGGATAGCTTGAGGCTCTGTCTCAAAAAAAAAAAAAAAAAGAACCATGTTTTTATTACATACATTTCACTGATGCTTTCAGTGTTCTTTAACTTGTCAGCAGCATGCCAAACATTCACAACACCCAGATGGGACCACAGAAACCCCTTTTTAAATTTATTTGCACCCTGTGTAGATTAACATTGACACGACTTTTAGAGTGTACTACAGCAGTACTTTTTAAATTCACCTGTACTCTTTGATTAACTTGAGAGGAGAGTTTTTCAGGAAGCTTCAAAAATGTGTGATTCAGACATATTCTCAGGACCAGCATCAAGTATCCAGAGATTAGGCAATTTTGTTCTCATATCCTTTACACTATTTCTTTTCTTTTCTTTTTTTTTTTTGAGACAGAGCCTCAAGCTGTTGCCCTAGGTAGAGTGCCGTGGCATTACAGCTCACAGCAACCTCCAACTCCTGGGCTTAAGCGAGTCTCCTGCCTCAGCCTCCCAAGTAGCTGGGACTACAGGCACCTACCACAACACCCAGCTATTTTTTGGTTGTAGTTGTCGTTGTTGTTTGGCAGGCCCGGGCTGGATTTGAACCCACCAGCTCTGGTGTATGTGGCTGGTGCCTTAGCCTCTTGAGCACAGGTGCCGAGCCCCTTTACACTATTTCTAATGCTAACAAAGTCATAGAACCACTGCAAAGATATCCATTCAGAACATATACTCAGCATGTAAAATGCTGTCTAATGTGTACATTAATATGTGATAGTGTTGTTCCAGAACCGAAGTGCAATGCACTGCCCCATTTACTTGGCCATAGAAACTTTTTCTTATGTCACCTATTCTTTCTGTGACCCAACAGCCTTGTCAGCGGTGTCTTTGATCTTGTACACTCTACAAGTCATGACTCTAGCTAGACCTGATTTGAGGCATGCCTTTTCCTTGGGATATGTTATCATTATTCTATGGAAAGAATACTGTTCGAATACTGTTCATGATCCAATAACTCAGATTTTTATTCTCTTTCTTTTGGTAAATGGTAGAGGAGGAGCACCTGGGAGTCTTGCTAAAACCCAGTAAGAGACAATAAAGACCTCTGCTAGGGCTGGGTATGGTGGCTCATGCCCATAATCCCAGCACTTTGGAAAGCCAAGTCAGGAAGATGGCTTGTAGTTATAATCTATGATCATGCCCTTGCACTCCAGCTTGAGCAAGACTTTGTCTCAAAATAATAGTATCTTTGCTGCTATGGGGATGGAGGATGGTGAGAAGAGGGTAAACTGCCGGGGGACAGTTAAAAGTGGGGGCATTACTAAGAAAAATCTGAGGCCAAGGATACAGTTTTCTCGCATGAACAAAATTTGAGTAGATAGTAATGTCAGTTATAGGAATAAAGGAAGAGGAGCAGACTTGGGGATTTGAAGTAGGTACAAGAGGTTCAGTATGATTATTTTCAGCATGTTGAGTTTGATGTCTCTGTGGAATGACAAGGTAAGAAATACTAGTGTAGACCTCAGACGTGAGATGAAAGCTCTAGATCTGGAAGTGGATGACAACAAAGGACACAGAGGAGATGTTAAATGGGTGGACAGTGAGGAATAATCAAAGGAGAAAGAAGAGGCTTGGCCCCTGTAGCTCAGCGGCTAGGGCACCAGCCACTTACACTGGAGCTGGTGGGTTAAAATTCAGTCCAGCCCTACCAAACAACAATGACAGCAACCAAAGAACAGCCTGGCATTGTGTGTGGGGGGGCACCTGTAGTCCCAGCTACTTAGGATTTGAGGCAAGAGAATTGCTTGAGCACAAGAGTTTGAGGTTGCTGTGAGCTGTGACCACAGCACTCTACCCAGGGTGACATAGTAAGACTCTGTCTCTAAAAAAAAAAAAAGAACCACTAAGAGATTGCAGGAGAGCCCTCTCTGCCTTTGCTGCATGTGGGCTGTATAGTAGTTCACAAGTCAGAGCTACAGGAAGGGCAACCTAAGGGAAAGGTGGACACCAGGCTCTGTGACAGGGGAGAGTGACTCACTGTCCTTCATTGTCAGCCAGGGACAAGGACATAGCCACGCTCCCACCTGACTACCCATGATCACTCAGCGGTAGAGATGTCTGCTATCAGTGCCCAAAGCCACCTCCCATGGGCTCCTCAACAAAGTGGAGCTGATGCTGCCTGAGAAATTGAGGCCATTACAACCCACCAAAACATATTTTTCTGGGCTTCAGTTAGGAAATGGGGGTTGGTATGTGCTGGACTGGCTGACATGGCCAGACATGCAGAAAAACTCAGCAGAACTCAATCTGTTGGGTTGGGGTTTTTTTTTGCGGTTTTTGGCTGGGGCTGGGTTTGAACCTGCCACTTCTGACATACGGGGCCGGCGCCCTACTCCTTTGAGCCACAGGCACTGCCCTCAATCTGCTATTTTGATGGCTACAGGATTTATTTAGTCAAGATACTTGTAATTTCAAAAAAGGGGAGTCTATTTGCTGTTTATTTATTCATAAGAGTGAAGGAGCCTCTCAGTTTTTACAAATTTGAAGAATAACCAAGAACTAATAGCATAAACAAGTAAAAAGAGTTCCTGATGACCTGAACACTCTGGATGTGAACACAACCATTAGGACCTATTTTATTGTTTTTTGTTTTGAGGGGGTTTTCTTTGAGACAGAGCCTCACTTTGTCACCCCCAGTAGAGTGCTGTGATATCACAGCTCACAGGAACTTCCAACTCTTGGGCCTAAGTGATTCTCTTGCCTCAGCCTCCCAAGTAGCTGGGACTATAGGCACCCGCCACAGCACCCAGTTTTTCCTTTTCTGTTTTTTGAGACAAGAGTCTTACTTTGCTACCCTTAGTAGAGTGTCATGGCACACATCAACCTCAAACTCAGCCTCCCAAGTAGCTGGGACTACAGGTGCCCACCACAATGCCTGGCTATTTTTAGAGATGAGGTCTCATTTTGACTCAGGCTGGTCTCAAACCTGTGAGCTCAGGCAATCAACCATCCTTGGCCTCCCAGAATACTAAGATTACAGGTGTGAGCCACCTCACCCTGCCCGAATTTTTCTATCTTTAGTAGAGATGGGTCTCATTCTTGCTCAGGCAGATCTTGAACTCCTGAACTCAAATAATATTCCTACCTCAGCCTCCCAGAGTGCTGGGATTACAGGTATGAGCCATTGTGCCTGGCCTATTTCATAATTTTTACACTGGCATCAGCAATGAGGGGGCCACTGGTGACCTCTACAAGAGCACTGTTTGCTAATGCCAGAAATGGCTCTAGCAGGGGACACAGTCTTTCTTTTGGCAGTAAGAAAAAGCTTAAAATTAAAGTGCCTCCTGAGGCTTGGCACTTATAGCTCAGTGGCTAGGGCGCCAGCCACAAATCCAGCCTGGGCCTGCCAAACAATGACAACTACAACAAAAAAATTAAAATAGCTGGACATTGTGGTGGGTGCCTATAGTCTCAGCTACTTGGGAGGCTGAGGCAAGAGAATCGCTTATACCCAAGAGTTTGAGGTTGCTGTGAACTATGTATGATGCCATGGCACTCTACCGAGGGTTACAAAATAAATAAATAAATAAATAAATAAAGTGCCTCCTTAAGTTAAAAAAACAAACTCATTTAAAACAAACTCAATTTTCTCAAAAGCATAACAAACCACAAAATTCTGCAATTAGAAAGGTGCCTGTTGTTCATCCAATCATCTCCCTCATTTCATGGTTGAGGAAACTGGTATAGAACACTTTGACTTTTTCTAGAAAGAACCAGACCAGGCCACAAAGCATATGAAGCCCCTATAGAAAGCTTTACTGTGCTTTCACTAACAAAGATGAAAGTACATGTCTAGCACTGTAAACATTACATCCAAAAGTAGAGGCTTTATTTATAATGTTATTCAAACAGGGTTTAGCAAAGGATACCTCTTCCTCTTCACATCTTGGCTGCACTTTATAAACACAAAAAGAGAAATATCCTGGGGGCAGGAAGTAAACACTTTTATCAGATATGTTCTCTAAATCCCAGTGAGTTCTGTGGTCCCAGCTCTTAGCAGGCCGCTAGTTGGTGGACACTGTGGTAGCAGCTGGGCGCCAGACCCCTGCCTCCCACTGAGGAGCGTGTCCAGAGAAGAGTTCAACACTGGCAGGGAAACTTCAGGCTTTCACTTCACTCATAGCCTCCATGAGGCGAGCACTGTTTGTAACTGCTGTCGTCAGAAAAATGAACCTGTACCCTACGGAGGCAAAAGTAGCAGCAAAAGTGATAGAGGAGATTTCAGGCTCCAGCAGTAACCATATCAGGCACTTCCATTTCCATAGTCCCCTGTGGAGGATAGCTCATTTATGGACACAGAGACATGAGTACCATGCTCCCAGGGACCATAGCTTTCTAAGCCTGTCAGCCCACAACAGGGCAATAACATGTGGTACCCAGAGGCCAGGAGGAAGGCCTTCTTGTGCAAGGTGCTTTGTCCTTTGTCCCCCAGATCCTAAGCAGTTTTCACTTTCGGTTCTCTTTTACCTTTCTCTCTGCCCAGGAACCGGAGGGCTGAGATCTCAGAGAATGTGCAACCACCCAGGAATACCACCAAGATGAGGCGCAGGGACTCGCTGGAAGCCTTGTCTTCCTTGATCATGTCTGTAAGGACCAAACCAGACTCAACGCTTTCCTGACACACTGGTCCTGGGTAATGTACCCAGCCCATCTCTCGATGTCCACCCTGCCCCACTGTCATGGGGTATGTCATGCCACGTACCTGTGAATGCAAAGTCACTGCAGTTGAGCAGCCGGACCACCTCATCAAGGCCTTGCCAGCTTCGTCGCTCTAGCACCTATGAAGGCATAAGCACAGGTTTAAAGAGAGCAGATGGTATTAGGTTTAGGAAAGGAAGGGCATAGCCTCCAGACTGTCACATTTCTTATTAGTTACTCAAGTAAAATAAAGTTGGGATAAGCCAGGGACCAGGAAAAAGCAGAGAGAGTAAAATACAAACAGGGGCAGGAGTGACTCATTCTCACCTGTTCTATGAGCCGGCAGCTCAGAGGCACATAAGCACCACTGAAAACGTAAGCCATGTCTCGAGGCACTTTCAGATCATACTCGCCATCCACACGTGGGATCTGGAGGGTAAAGGAACTGTATTAGGCAAGTAACAACTCAGCTCTCTAATCCAAAGAGCCAGACAAAGTGGCATATCCTAGAGAACAATTCTTATTTCAACTAAAGGCAGAACTAGCAATAGCCCTGAAAAAAAATCCCTAAGCACAGATGACTGTTCAGTTGTTCAGTGCCTGCCAGTTCTCTGGAACACCTCCCTATGAAGGGGCTGAAGGGAAGGGCTCTCCTTCCCCAGCCCTTCAGTGATATGGGACATGTCTGGCCCAGGTATTTTCTGGCTACCAAATAAAAGGATATTTTTACAAACAAAAAAGACAAAGTTTTGTTTGTTTGTTTTTTTTTTTGAGAGAGAGAGAGTCTCTGTCATCCTGGGTAGAGTGCTGTGGCATCATAACTCAAACTCCTGAGCTCAAGTGATCCTCCTGCCTCAGCCTTCTGAGTAGCTGGGACAGTGCCTGGCTATTTTTTCTATTTTCAGTAGAGACGCAGTCTCACTCTTGCTCAGGGGGTGCTCAAACACCTGAGTTCAGGCAATCCACTTGCTTCAGCCTCTTAGAGTGCTAGGATTACAGGTGTCAGCTACCAAACCTGGCCCAACAGAAAGCTTTTGTGGATTCAAAACAGCCCACAAAGGAGTGGACCCACGATCTCCTCTACCCCACCTTGTTCCACATACCAAGTTCAGCTTTTTGCTAATGGCACGAAAGTTGCTCCTCTTGGCCAGAGAACTGAAGGCATCAGTAATCTTTCCTGGGGAAGAAATCTGTGCTGGGTTACACCTAAAGTGTATGGATTCATGACACTGTTCCAGGTGACACCACTCAGGACATGACAAGATCAACCACATCCAAAGACACTCTGAGAGCCACCCACCTATAATTCCCTGGAACTGCTCAAGGCACTCCCCACCCATAGTCCTTCCCTCCTACAGGGTACCAGCACTCTACTTAAAATGCAGTCTACAGGGTAACCTGAATTTATCGGTTAAGTGGTTGGGCTTTGGAGTCAAACCAACCTGACCTACTAACTTAGGGAAAGTTCCCTAACATCTCTAAGCCTGTTTCCTCATCTGTGAAATGGACATAAGAAAATTTACCTCATAGATTCTTTGCAAGGATGAAATGAGAGACAGTATCTAAAAGGCTTAGCACATTAGAAGTGTTCACAATATGGAAACTGCTCCAACTAGCAGAAGTAGGACTAGTAATAACAATAATAGGAACCATCTTCCTTCCCCAGCTTATTCACTCTTCCTCCCTGGGGGCTCTGCCTATTGGGAGAATTGAGAACAGCTGGGGTTGGAGGATGGGGTGTCACCTGTGCTTCATGCTCACCTGCAGCCTTATCGGTCACCAGCTTGCTCACTTTACTCTCCACTGCTGTGAGGGTGTCCCCAGGGGCCTGCTCTGTTAGAAGCCCAGCTCGTCGTAGATTGGAGAAGGTTAGCAGGTGCTCAGGGCCATAGCTCTGAAGAAAAGATAATTCAGTTGTTTTTTTTTTGTTTTTTTTGAAACGGAGCCTCAAGCTGTCCCCCTGGGTAGAGTGCCATGGCATCACGCTCACAGCAACCTCCACCTCCTGGGCTCAAGCCAGTCTCCTGCCTCAGCCTCCCAAGTAGCTGGGACTACAGGCGCCCGCCACAACGCCTGGCCATTTTTTGGTTGCAGCCATCATTGTTGTTTGGCAGGCCCGGGCTGGGGATTCGAACCCGCCACCTTAGGTGTATGTGGCTGGCGCCTTAGCCGCTTGAGCCACAGGCGCCGAGCCAAGAATTCAGCTATTTATTGAGCAGCCACTAAAGCTCTAGCCAGGTGATATGGGGAAGAGGGAGAAGGATGATACAGTCTCTGCCACAAAGGAGCTCATAGTTTGTTGTGTGAAAGATTTTCACATCAGAAATAACCAACCCCAACCAAAGCAGAATAAAAAGCAATATGAGACTTTTAAAGCACAGAGAAATTTATGGATATAAGGGTGTGAGGAAGGCTTCCTGGGTGAAGTAAGACTTGAGAAGGACTGGGAAGGAGAGCTGAATCAATGCCTCAGAAACTGCTAAAATGAAGGGGATTCCCAGGAGTAAGAACCTAGCACTGGGTCCAACAGCTGAAATGTTCATATTGTTGCAAACCATGAGAGGATATGGGATGAAACGGGGCAGGGGGCAGAGTAGCACGCTGAAAGGTGACTCTCCCTAGTGGCCAGAATGGAAACAGGATGATGGCTGGGACAGGAAAAGGGTCATTTCTTTTTCTGCTCCTTTCTTTTTTTTTTTTTTTTTTTTTTAATATGGAGCCTCAAGCTGTCCCCCTGGGTAGAGTGCCAAGGCATCACAGCTCACAGCAACCTCCAACTCCTGGGCTCAAGCAAGTCTCCTGCCTCAGCCTCCCAAGTAGCTGGGACTACAGGCACTGGCCACAACGCCCGGCTATTTTTTGGTTGCACCCGTCATTGTTGTTAGGCGGGCCCGGGCTGGGGATTTGAACCCGCCACCTTAGGTGTATGTGGCTGGTGCCTTAGCCACTTGAGCTACAGACACCGAGCCAAAGAATACATTCTTGAGGCCAGGCTTGGTAGCTCATGCCTGTAATCCTAGCACTCTGGGAGATCAAGGGAGGTGGATTGCTTGAGCTCAGAAATTCGAGACCAGCCTGAGCAGGAGTGAGACTCCATCTCTACTAAAAACAGAAAAACTAGCCGGACATGGTGATGGGTGCTTATAGTCCCAGCTACTTGGGAAGCTGAGACAGAGAATCGCTTCAGCCCAAGAGTTTGAGGTTGCTGTGAGGTATGATACCACAGCACTCTACCTAGGGCAACTGAGACCCTGTCTCAAAAAAAAAAAAATAAGTTCTTGCCTTATGCAGTGGCTCACACCTCTAATCCTAGTACTTTGGGAGGCCAAAGTAGAAGGATCACATGAGGCTAGAAGTTGAAGATGAGTCTAAGTAACACAGAGGGACCCCACCTCTACAAAAATTTTAAAAATTAGCCAGGCATGGTAGCACATGCCTGTGGTCACAGCTACTTGGGAGGCTGAGACAAGAGGATAGCTGAGTGTAGGAGTTGTAGCTTGGGTTGCAGTGAGCTGTGATGACACTACTACACTTAGCCCAGGTGAGAGAAAGAGAGAATATCTCAAAAATTAGATAAAAATAAAACTTTCTTTCTTTCTTTCTTTTTTTTTTTTAACTTAAGTCCAGGCAAGGCTTGAACTTGCTGCACCTGGTGTGCAGGGCTAGTGTGCTAACCACCAAGCTATCACAGCCAGCAAAAAGTAAAACTTTCTCCAGGCCTTACTTGCAGATACTGTGTTTTCAGAGACCGGTAATCCTTGGAGATCAAACCTGAGGGTGAAGAAAATAAGGCGCATCGGAAAGAGGCCAGCTGAATATCCTAAAATGTACAGACAAACCAACCAAGCAACCAACACCTTAATCAGGAGGAAGGATTCAGTTAATGATGTTAACGTTGCATAGTATGCAGTTGACTTTAAATTGACTCCTAGGGCTGGGCACAGTGGCTCACACCATTAATCCTAGCACTCTGGGAGGCCAAGGCAGGTGGATTGCTTGAGCTCAGGAGTTTGAGGCAAGCCTGAGCAAGAGCCAGACCCCATCTCTAAAAAACACCTGGGCCAGGCCTTGAGGCAGGCGCCTGTAGTCCCAGCTACTTGGGAGGCTGAGGCAGGAGGATCACTTGAGCCCAAGAGTTTGAGGTGGCTGTGAGCTATGATGATACCACACAGCACTCTACTCAGGGCAACAAAGTGAGGCTGTCTCAAAAAATAAATAAACTAATTCCTAAATTGAAGCTTGTTTATTGAAAGATAAAGCCTGGCTCTCAGAGTTCCAAGGAAGAACTCTGAACCCTAAGGGTACTGAGGAAGGGGCACTGGAAATCGTAGTAGGTGAGGGGAGGACATGGCAGAAGGGATTTCTCATTCAATTCTTTCTGGCTAAGGGGCAGTTCTACTTGGGACCTCTTTATAGCTACTGAGAAAGAGGAAAAGTGTTAAAGTGAGTTCCACAAGTATGTCTTAAATGGTTTTCTCCACAGAGGTAAGAAGAAATGGGCTTCTAACTATAAGAAAGAAGATTTAGGCTCGGAGCCTATAGCTCAACCGGCTAAGGCGCCAGCCACGTACACCTAAGGTGGTGGGTTCGAATCCCCAGCCCGGAACCGCCAAA